CAATTATTAACACTAACACATTTTAATGTAATTATGTCATCGATTTTAAAGGCCCCATTAATGGTGGTTTTTGTTGTCAACACTTTTGTGTATGTACATCATTGCCCATCCATGTATGTGCATCATTGCCCATCCATGTATGTGCATCATTGCCCATCCATGTATGTGCATCATTGCCCATCCATGTATGTGCATCATTGCCCATCCATGTATGTGCATCATTACCCATTCAGCTATGAAGACAGCCCTGTTTTCATGTGGGTAGGGAAAGAATCATGTGTATTCAGCTCTCTGCCACATCTATTGATTTTGTTTTGTGCCCTCTTAGCTCATCTTTCTGGAACTACAGGGAAACATTAAAAGAATGACAAAGAATAATCAATAATTTAAAATTAGTTTATTCAGAACAATTAGATTTTATGTTGGAAGATTAAAAAAAACAATTATATGCCTGGCAATTGGCTGCTACGCTTTTCTTTTTAAATTTATTGATCCAGACATCATGAGGATGTTCTCTCAATACATTATTATAACAACAGACAGAACAAGACATTAATATATAAGTGTTAGTTTAAAGGCAAAAATACCCCAATATTATTTGATAAATGTGGCTAAATTAAATCAATAACATTTTTTCCATTTAATTTTGTGATAAAATTGGTGACTAAGAAATGTTTAGCTTGGATTTCCAACTTCACAGCCCTTGTTAAAGACCAATTCCTTTTAATTTCTTGACCATTGAATATTTAGCATATATAAAGAAATTAAAAGGGGTATTTTTGGTACTGTATTTCTTCAAACAGAAGTCAAGCCGAACACTAGACTACACTTACTTATTGTCTGATCTGCTGATTTTTAACTTGGAAGTGGCTATGATAAATTTTAATTGCTCCATATTTTCATTACACATTAGCTTTGAAAAGAACACAGTATATTCTGAGTTCAATATACCTTGGGGAAAGATTGGAGAAAGGCAGCATACCATTTAATTTGTAACTTAATACATACAACACTTATGAATTTCTCAACATGTCTTTTATTAAAGTACAGAAAAACAACAAAAAACACTGGAAATCCATGCATTAATGTCCTACACCATCTGCACATCCAGCTTATCACTCACTATAATGCACTAATCAATGGGTAGAAGCTCCAAAAAACATAAATTCAAAAACTCATTTCCGTCTACCAAGAGAGGGACACTAAAATATCATTGTTTTCCTATCTGAAAGCCAAAAGAAACTCCAATCAAGTTCAAGCATACCTATATGACAACATTTAGTTATCATTTTGGGAAATAATAAGACCTTTAACTTGAAATGTTATAAATGCAAAAATCACACTAAATTAAAAATTGGTATGATCATTTAGAAAAGCAGCTCAGAATGACCTCTGATATCTTAAACAGATTCAATTTAGAAGTGTAAAAAAAATTCACATACAAAAAGCAAAGTCCTTCAGTGAATAGTTTCTAGAAGGATATTATTTACCCTTCTAAATATTTATTTAGTAAATCTTTTTACTCTGCTAAAACATTTAACTTTAAATGATACATAAATATTACATATTCATCATAATCTTTTAATTTGTAGACTTAATTGACATGATCTGACCTTAGTATTAAGTTCATAAAAATATAAATTTATTTGTAACAAATAATGGTAAATTTACAATGCAACATTAAATTACATGTCCAAGACCTTGAATATAATTAAAGGAATCAAAGCTATACCTACACTGTCATAAAATATATCTTGGAAACAATTAAAGCTTGATCAAAGAGACATGAGATATAGTAATGATATAGACATTAGTCATTAGATTTGACTCCGTTATTATCAGTTAATAAAAATTACAAATAATAAATTATTTTTTTTCGAAATTGAAAATAATTGTACCTGTCTATTGTCATGATCTTACAATTAGATCCAATTATTGGATATCAAACTAATCCAGTGGGTATCCAATATGAAGATTTTGTGCTGTGGTTACTTTTAACAATAACATCGCCCAGATAAAAATCCCATGCGTCCTCAACACAAATTTTGAGATACTATATACCCCCTTAAATAGTTTTTATGGCATATGCTAGATAAATTACAACTTAAAAAATTATGGAAACAATTGTTACTTAACATTTGTGGATGTTAATCATATGGTCTAATAACTAGTTAATATTAATTACTGTGGCCCTTTTACCCAAGTTTGTTCTTTTTTAAATTATCAATGACATTTGAAAATCATGCACATGAAAAACTGGTTTTAAAAATAGTAATGAGAAACCCTTGTAAAATAAAATAACAAAACTTTGATTTGCTAATATGAATGTAATACAAAACTATTGCATTGCGACAAGTAAAGGTTTGAATGACATAACCTTTAACTGAAATAGTTTTTCTCATATTTAGATGTCAGGTGTTTTTAGCACTTTAAAATTTAAAATGAAACAACTACTCAAATAAAAAGGTATAATACATTTTTTGAAATATTGTCTTTATCACCGGTGTTTACAGTAGATGGTATTTGAAATAACAAGCAAACATATACTATACCAAAACTTGACAAGTAATGGAAAATAAAATGGTTAATGGTTAGGACAACTTAAGTTCGATATGTCTGAGACATAAGTAAGCTCTGGGTATAGATTCGAAATAATTATGTAGATCAATTATCTCTTTTTAAAATAAAAGGATATATATATATATATATATATAAGGAAAAATTGGACCGTAACATTCTACAGGAATTTTGTGAAATATTTTAAAAGTAATTTGTAATTATGTTTAGTCTAAATAATTTCTGGCAAATCTTTTCATGATTCCTAACTGTCTTGTGATGAGTTAACATGTATTGTATTGTAAAAAAAAAAGAAAGATTTATGACTCGGTCACAAAAAAATTAGAATGTCACATGTTTACGGAGAGTGTCGCCTCATTAAAGGTGACAAAAAACATTGCACATCATACTTGAGGTCTCTTATTGCAAGGGTGTTCAAAATATTTTAACACGTTCTGAACTGTACTATAATATATTTTAGTAACACATAACTTTGGCATAAACGAAAATCAAACATCTGGTAAATACTGAAAACTGAACTTTCAAATATGACAATAGTTAAGCAAAACGGATTTATTAAAAGAATGTGTGTAAATTTTTAAATCTTGGTGGAATCAATTTTTAAATAGTTTTGGGTTTGATAATAATTTTGATCATAAGAAATTTAGCTCTATTGATTTGTTAAAAATATTGTTGAATAGTTATCTTTAAAGACTTGCAAAAAAAATGTATAAATGCAAAAAAAATTAATTTCAAGCTCAAATAAGGAATGCCAGGGTAATGTAATACCAACAATTATAAATTGTAAAATAAGTATTTCTATTAACATTCATGCATTTCCTCATTTATTTTAGTATATGATACTAGTTTTCTTGAACTACACTTTGTTACAAAACTTATTTGATTGGGCTTACTTTTTCAATTGGTACGGTTGGCTTAGGTTCATTAAATTAACATAGTAAAATACAATGAACACATCTTCAGTAACAAAAAATGGCACGTAAGTGAAAACAGAAAACAAAATGGCATCAAAATAAACATTTAGGGCACAAACATGAGATTGATTCTGTAGACATATAATAAATTAATTTTTTTTCTTCATATTTGAATTATATATTGTATCGCAAGTCTTTTGTTGTGGTTGTTTTCATTAGGACTTGTGAATAAATTGCCTCATTTCTCATTTTAAACAATTTTAGTATTAAAAAAACATAATAAGGGTAAGCTGGGGAAAAAAGGTACGATAAGTCAAAATTTACCCTGAAGAAAATATAACTGACAAGGAAAATATCTTTAAACAAAAATATATAACATTGTATTTAGTTGATTTGATTCTTGGTGCTTGTGAAATATTAATGCAAACAGTTTGTTCAATAGAATAATGTAATACTTTTTTAACATTCTGACATGTTTCTAAAGAAAAAAAAGAGACTATCTTTTAAAAATTATTGACTCCAAACAAAAATAAACTTAAGGATTCTTTCTTAGCTGAAAATGTTTTTGATAAAAAGCAAAATTAAGCGAGTCAATCTTAAACCTGATGTTTTACAATTATATTTTAAATCGTATTCTATTAACAAATAAGACGTATTGTTCTAACAACTCAAGTTTTCTTTATTATAAAGATTATTGTAATTTAAGGTTAACATTTCTGATTGTACCGACTGTTCAAGCCCTTTACCCTGATGGAACAGCCTAACCAAATACTTAATTACAATTTCAAAGGTTTCCAGCTTTATGATAGTAGATACTGGCCAGCTATCTTACATAGAATGAGGCCTTCACTTTAAACTATTACACCACGTCCATAGTCTGCTATGATAGTAGATACTGGCCAGCTATCTTACATAGAATGAGGCCTTTACTTTAAACGACCTCCATAGTCTGCTATGATAGTAGATACTGGCCAGGTATCTCATAGAATGAGGCCTTTACTTTAAACCACCTCCATAGTCTGCTGTCCCTGGTTGTGGAGCGATTATGTACAAACACAACTGAGCTAAACATATAATTTTAAAAAATGTTTAAATACTTCTAATATTTAGCAACAACATGACTAAAAATTGATACCACTTGGCTGGTACAAAATATTACATTTTCAAATGATTACTTTGTCACTAAATAATACCATCATAAGTAATTTAAAAGAGGTGAAGGGTATGTGACCTGAAACAGCCGAGTAATGCCAACAATGAACTGAGTGTCATGTCTTCAATAGATTGGACAAGGTCAAATGGTGAAATTAATCAACTAGAATATTACATTTAAAAGTCTAAAATGGAGAGCAAATTGCAATAGGAAATAACAGCGTTTAAACATGACAGGAAATAACAGTGGTTAAACATGATTAAAAACTGTTTCAGAAAATATAAGGAAAAATTTATTTTTAACAAAAACGATATATTTAAAAAATTGAAATTTTGAAAGAAACACAAAATAAATAAGCTTGTTTTAACATAAATTTTGTTGGTGTTTTAAGTTATGACAAAATATTTTAATGGTAATTGAATAACAAATTTGTTGCAAAATCATGGACTTTATACTTTATTCATTTATAATTCATTGTCTTCTCTGAAAAATTTAAATGAGCTCTTGACAAGTACATTTAATTCTAAACATATTCAGAGTCTAACTTTCAGGAGAACAAAATATCAAAGTTCAAAATTTTTAGGTAGCTCTATTTCACTCTATTATCTATTGGTTTACATTTAAAACATTAACTTTAATGTAGGCAAACATATTGATGTCTAGATATTAACAGTTATATGTATTATAACTCTTTTGGAATAATGGAGATTGTAACCAAATGTTGCTTTTTAAAAAAAATTTATTATACCACAATACAGGCATATTTTGATGACATGTTATAAAAATATTAAAATGACACTTTGGTGCCTACATTTTGATATCGTCACACAGTATTTTTTAGTAGAGATGTGCATTAGAAAAGCGAAATTTATCAATGATTTCGATAAGAAAAAAATAAAATAAGCTCAAATTTATTAATTCATGTTGATGTTACAATAATGCCTTAGATGTTGGCTTGAGCTTCAGAATGACTCACTGAATGATCAACAATGACACCATAAATGACGTTCATGGGATTTACCACATTCATCTGCATCACCATCATGGAACTTCCTATGACCTCAAGTGCTCTAATCAAAAAATTATTTTTAATTAAAATCTAAGAATAATCAAAAAATTATTTTTAATTAAAATCTAAGAATGTTTCATGTGTTAAGTATTTGTTCCACTGAGAGCATCCAAAAATATGGAATCACAGAAAAATCCCCATGGCCAAAAAAACAATGGGATTAAGTACATGTGAAGAGCATGTCACTTCAACCAAAGTGTACCTCAAATAGCAGGGAAGAGAGTGATAAACTTTATCCACGGTTAGTAACAACCAGAGAAATATACACACAGCATGAGGCTAACCTTATTGTATCACTAGAAATCTTGGATTAGAAGTTGGGCATCACAAAAAACTTGTAGCTTCGAGACTATTTATTTAAAATGAAAGTCATACATGGAGTAAATTTGTTAATTCTTTTGCCAAATTTATTATGAGATCAACACTAGTCATTGTTCAGAACAACTCATTTGTTCCTGACATACTAATATAACACTTACATTACAAGCACATAAATGAAGGCACCTAAATAAATATGAAAAAAAAACCCAGAGAAGCCACAACAAAAATCAAATGTAAAACCTTACATTAAGTTTGATGATTTGCAATGACAAAAGTGTTTAACAATCATAACATTCAATACCATGGCATAATCTAACTTTGCATTGACTTGCATTGCAATCACTTTTAACTAAGTCTCAGTGACTGCGGGAGCTGTTAACCTGTTCAGAAAGTACGAAAAAAAAAAACTAAACAATTTTACGACACTATTTGAGAACTGCTCATGTGAAAGATATATAATGTAAGTGCAGAAAATTTATAGTTTGTTATTTTTGTAAAATCACCATACTTTAATCAAGATATAAACAAAAGTTTTCAGCCTGTAGTGATCTAAAAAGTTTTATTCAGAGGCTTCTAACTCGAATGAGCTGTTTCCCTCTTCTTCTTGCCCAGATGACTCAAGCACAGCAGGAGACAGCAGTTCCGAGTCATCTCCTAAAAGAGTGCACAGTTCTTGCAGTCTCTCCTGCATGCGGGGCATCCCTGCCAACTGACTCTCCAGCTTTTGTTTCTCTTCATTCAGAGTCAGGCGTGCATTGGAGTCTAGCTCTTCCATCCTCCAACCACCTTCACCATCAAATTGTAACAAGTGAGAGTGGAATTTCCTACACAAAAATAAATAAATTATTAAATAATTTTGCAAGTCTGTTAGAGTTTATGACTTAAGAAACTAACAACATTCCATTTTCCATGTATCAGGTGGAACTTGGCTGTATCATAAACTCAGAGTAATTACTTAAATATTGCCCACAACATTTTTAAAATTTACCACAAGGTAGGTCTATGTGTTATTGTCAGCAAGGTGATTCCTGCAGCTTTCAAGCTCAAGTATATTTTGCTTTCAACATCAATGGAAACTGCACTGGTACATTCATCCAAAAGCGCAAATTGGGGCCTGAGAAAGTATAACATAGTTGGTATAGTACCTGTTACCTGGCTTTTCAAATATAAGTCATTGACAACATTGTAAGAATATATTGACAGCTTCATGAGTTTTTAAAAAAATCAACAATTCATTTAGGTAAAAATTTATTAATAAAAAATTTCAGTGTATTTATAAGCCAAAAATCCCTGTTTGTCTTTGAGCACATCTTAATGAGAAAATACAATTAAAAATATATAACAAGCTAATTCCTTTTTAAAAAAAAAAATATGAAAATAAACAGGAGAAAATTTTGCACAAGTTATGGATTGTTTTTATTTTAATCTGAGATTTGCTGCATCCCTCATAATTTCAAGGGAAGTTTTTCTTAAAATAATTGTTGCTGCCCTAGTATGGTATAATGTTTGAGTTTTGGCAAAGTATCATAATAAGTCAAGTATCGCAATAAATAAAACAAACAAAATGAAAAAAAATACACGATAAAGAAAAATACAAATACAATTTTTTTTAAAGCTAAAATACTAAATAAACAATCTTATCTGAAGTATTTGGTTGCTATTAAAAAATATATATTTTATTAATTTCAAAGTTACTTTTAAAATCAATAACGCGTTTATTTAGCCGTATAACATATCTTTCATCTTAAGAACTTACTTATGATAAAATGTTCTGGCCATTCCCATTCGTTGCTTCTCTCCACCTGATAATACATCCTTCCAGTCACATTCAGCTTCCCAACCTGATAAGTACACATTATTGGGAAAAAATGAGACTAGAGGACTAAAAAAAATTTTGTTTGTTTGTTGATGCTCATTTTCATTTTCAAATATTCCATAACATAAAAAAAATAATAATTAATAATGATTCATTTAATTACCTTTATGTCACAAAAACCCCCAATAAACATGAATATTGTTCAAGATGGCATTGCTGATGAATCTCAAATCATATCAATTTAACTGTCAATATTAAGTAATCCATTAATATTGAATAAATGAAATAATTTGACTCAAAATAAAAAACTGGGCCTTGGAGGGCTGTTAAAATACACATTGAGTGGAGTGAAAAAAAAAAGCATAATTTAAAACTCTTCATTTTTAGTGACATTCTGTGTCTACATAGCATTTTATGATCTGCAAGGATACTTGCCTCCCTCACGGTGTACAATGTTATCTAGATGTACAATCTTCAATATGTTCATCAGGTCATCATCAGTGAAGCCCTTCGCTGCCATGTCTGCCACAGAGTCAGGATAAATCACTTGGTCCCTTAGTGTTCCTATTGACATGTAGGGTCTGTGGATATAAGAAACTCAATGATAATTTTTTTTTTACTTTAAACATTAAAGGAAACTGAAACAAATAATAACAAAGAAATAAAGATCAAACTTTTTATATCTTTGAAACAATTCTTTTTATAAAGCCTATTATGTAACTGGCTTTATCTTTTTGATCCAACCATTTATTTATTTTTGTCTGTTTTTCCTTGAAATTTTAAATTCATTTTTTGTTTGTTAAAGCATGTTTTGCACTCAAAGCATCCAGTAAAAATACTTTCAGATTTTCTGCTTCTAATGAAAGTGAGGAAATATTGAATAAAATAACTGAACAGAAATAATCCTTCACTAAAGAACATGGGACATTCATTACCTTTGGGGTATGTAGAACATGGAAGAAGGTGGAGGCTTACACAGCTTTCCTCCATAGACTGGCCATAAGCCATTGAGGATACGGAACAATGAAGATTTTCCACAACCATTAGGACCAGTAATTAAAAGATGCATGCCTGGCTCCATCTACAAAATTTTAAAAAAATTTTGTATAATTTATTCCCTTATCTTTAAGGCTGTAGCCTACAATAGTGAACAATGTATTACATTTAGAATAGAAAAAGATTGTTCACTGAAAGTTAAATTAAAAAAAACAAACAATAAATGACTAAATAAAACTTGAGTAAATTTTAATCAAGCTTATGACACAGTAATATCAAATGGATAAATTAAAAATTATCCTTACCTTTAGAGACAGCGACTGTACAATGATATCACCATTCGGAGTGATGATTGGAAGGTCCTCTATAATAATTGTTGACTGTGTATCAATGACATCACCTGAAAAAAGAAATGTTGCTAATTAAAAAATAAAATATATGTATAAAAAATCTCTAATAAAAAATCATTAAAAAATTTGAATAATCTTTACTTTAGGAGTTCATACTAGCAGGTATTGAACCTTAAATAATACCTTTCTGAACAAGAGGGCCAGCAATTCTTTCATGGTTTACTTTGTGGGACTTCTGCTTTGTGACAGTATTCCGTTGGTATCTTCCCATTTTAACATCTTCAAAAACTTCAAACATCTGGGAAACTCTGGATGTGTAGCCTGCAAGCTCAGTGATCTGTATCATACATATACATTAAGTCCATTGTTCAGGGAAAGTTACATAAATGCAAAGCCACACTGTTATATCAGGTTTTCATTTTATCAATATTTTAACACTTAAAACTTGTCAACAATTAACCAATCCTTCCACCCAACATGATACATGATACACAAATGAAAAGGCATGCTCCAAACAAAACACAATTACTCTGGCCATTTTAAACAAGCTACAGATGTCCTTTTCAAATTTCAAACCTTACTTCTTTATAGGAAGACATCATCCTTTCAATAGCATCAGCAGAACTTATCAGCAAGTTGCGAGCAGTAGTGAAATAACGTGTCCTTTCACTGACACCACCATCATCATCATCCTCTACACTGGAGCCTGGTGCAAACAGTATTAGATATAATAGTATTCATTACTAATTTAAAAACAAATTTAAATGGAATGTATTTGTTTAAGCAGCTTGATTAGCAGTTGTTTAAGCAGCTTGATTAGCAGTTAATGCACAAATGAAATAAACTTCACTTAAGACAGAAGAATAAATGTCAAGAATAGATACATAGTGGTTTTGGTGGACAAAGTTATGTAACCTTATAAAACAATGAAGGTGCTGAAAGAAGGGGACATATTTATTTTAAACTTTTCAATCTTCTTTTTTATTAAATGTAGTTAAAATAGCTTTTTTTTGGCTACGACTTGTAGAGTTGTTATCAACATTAATTTCTAATACCAGTTTTCTCAACCCTGTTAAGATAATAAACCCATATGAATGGTCTCATTTCAAGCCTTTAATTAAATGAAACTGCGAAATAAGGTTATAATGATAGAAAAATTATAATTATTTTTTTCAATAGTTGAAACTTAGATATCACAGATATTTTATTTAATAACAACATGGCCAGGCATAAGCAATTCAATTGCTTTTTGTCATTTCTTAAAATTTCAAACCAGATATATATTTCTGACAACCTTCAATTACAAACAAAATTTCATTTCTTAATATTAAATAATTGTTCTTCCAATTACATTATTCAGCTCCCCAATAATACAGCTCTCATATTAAGGTATAAGCAAAACAAGATATGACTATCGGCCCTTGTAGGAGTGTCATTGGGAAGGGCATTATTTCTGATTACAAATGTCCAAAAGGTGATCCATAATTTCCTATGCCTTGTTCAGGTGCATACAACAGATTTTATTAACAGGGAAATATTCAAAGGCCAAATTATATTTCAAATTATCTATAAATAATCTAGGCATTCACTGGTGACATTACTAAAGTAATGGCAAAATATTTTTAAGGTTTTTAAATAATAATACACAACTAAATCAACTTACCATCCTCTCTAATGCCTGTAGCAGTAATAATTGGAACTGCTACCATCACTAATCCACTGCAACTCCAAACATATTTCATAAGAAATTGCTCTAACATTATGTACCAAAGCCTCTTGTAAAAGATCAGATCCATTTGCCCAACTAAAGCATTGTAACACCTAGACAGTAGGGATTTCTCTATCTGAAAATGTAACAATGTATGCATAAATTATGGATGAACATATGATCCTCATGTCTCTTTGTTGCATTTTCCAAGTTGCATACTGACATTTTCTTGATTATGATTTATTATAAAATAAACAAACAAGAAAATCTGTTTTTGTGAATTCAATGTAAAGAACTAAGTTTTTTAGATGAAATAGTAAACCAAGGTATGTTGAAGTTTAATCAAAAGACAGGACAATAGGATGCAGATGTTTCGGCTAAGAGCCTTCTTCAGCAAACAGGACAAATAGGACAACAAGAAACAAAGAACAGTAAAAAACTTAAGAGATCTCCTTTGTTGTTGCTGGAAGTAGGATTATAGATAATTATTCTGAGTTTTTTTAGTTACCTCAATGTAACACAAATACAAATCTATTGTCATGACAGGCAGGGTAAAATTTATTGTAAAGCTGAATCTCTTACTTTTTTTTTTGAGGTGCATTATATGGAAGCTAGTTTATATCCAAATTTTTAAATTATACAGCTATCCAAATTTTAAATTATACAGCTATCTATCACCAAAACATCTTTTTTTAAAGAGAGTATACTATTTTATTTACTTTAAAAAGTTTAAAACATACTAATGTTAATAAAAATAAAATACAATTACAACTAACTAAATATATAAGTTCCTAAACGAAAACAATCCTCTCTACTTACTTTATGACCATTGTAAAAAGCGATTTCCTCTGCATTTGTAATAATTCTAGAATGCATGAACCGCAGATATCCTTTCTTATTTGCCTCCTCAGCCACAAGTTTTCCAAACTTTGGTGAAACAGACCTCAGAATTTTTGCAGTAATGAGTATTACAACCAATGCAATAATTGTAGGAGTCTTAGAGCTGGCACCTCTACTTTGTGCAAGCCTGTAGAGTGTGAAAGACATCAGGGCCACATCTAACAATGGTTTTGTTAAATGAGAATACAGGTGAGCAAGGGATGATGTGAACATTGTTATATCCTCTGTTAAACACTGGTCTGCATTTGACAATCTGCTGTCCAAGTTGCTGACACGATAATATGTCTGGCTGTCAAAATACTTTTCATATGCATGTTTAACCAGGCGTGTGCGAAAGACAAGAGCGAGTTTGCTTTCTAGAAATCTGATCAAACTGTTTATAAATGTTGCTGGAACGGCTAAGAGAATCCATTTTGCTAGTTGCAAAACAAATCTTGTGACATTTCGTTGAACAATAGTTTGAACAATGCTGCCATCTAGTTGGGCAACTATTATAGAGAGGAATGTTCTAATCACAAGGCTTAAAGTGTGTAAGGAGAGAATACCAAATTCTTTACACCAAATTTTGGGAATGATTATCTTAATAAGGTAGCGTAACTGTCTGTAGAAATGTTTATCAACATTAGGGCCCCTTTTCTCAATGTTTTGCTGATCAGGAGCACTGTGTGAAGGGGATGTATTGGTAGAATTCCCTTTACTTGTTTCTTTCGGTCCTCCTGTATCAAATTTACTCACAGTGTTTTTTTTTATTTTCTTTGCAAATACTAATTTGGCAATAATAGGAAAATAGCATTTGACTCCATATGCTGCCAGTAAACATATAGCAGCACCGGTAGCAACTTTGGTCCCAGTGAAATTTGTCTTTGAAGCGGCTGTGTAGAATTTACTATTAGACATTTTCCTTGTTTCTTTTCCGACTTAATACCCTATACAAGAGGCAAAAATCGAGAAAGAAAAAACTACAGAAAGGTCTTGGCCCAAATGTTGGCTAATTTTATAGTTTGTCCACTTTATTGATGGTCATAATGAAAGCTATGAAGTGCAAGATTTCTTCTCAAATACGTCTTAATCACCAGAGCAGCCTTTAAGAGTATATCAGCTTGTAGGTAACAATGCCTTCAAAAATTACTGACTTCTTTCCATTATTTCAAGATGGCTTCATAAATAGTTTCTAGGTTCAGGTTCAATATGGCTTAGCAGCTTGCACATTAACCTAAACTTGCACATGAGATCATGAGAGGGAAATTCATATTTTTTACACCAGCAATACTTGCTACAAGATGAATTTATAAGTCATTTATTTTTAGTCGTAGACTTGAATTCAAATTTATCCCATGTGATGGTATCACATGAATTAGTTAAATCCAGGATGTTTTGATGAAGTAGTCCAAAATCATTCAATATCACTTAGGGTGAATAAACAAATGTTGAGGCAACTTGTATTGTAAATCTACCTGTTCATAGTAAAACAAATGTGATTAGTGATTATTTAACTTTTGATAATTTTGATTAACTACTAGTACATAACATAAAAAAAAGAAAATTAGTTACATCGATAAGTTTTTTGTTTTTGTTTAAAGTTTAATTCAAGACCTCAAAATGTCTTGATTTTCTTGACATACCGGTAGACAAAAATTTTCTAATAGTTAGACAAACATTTTCTAATGACTATGGAAACATTTTTTTGGTTACAATTATAAGCAAAATTCTGTCAAACAAAATGTAATGTCATACAGAAAAAAAATATGTGAATAGCACCATGTAATGTCATACAGAAAACAAAATGTAAAAAGCACCATGTAATGTCATACAGAATGTATCAAAAAGACTTTGAAATAAAGGTATGTTTTGTAAATTCTATTTCTACATTAAAATATTCTTTCAATAACTTTATAATTTTTTGGTCACTAAAAAAACTTTTCCTATCAAATACTAAATTAACTTAATCCGTCTACTCAAACAAAAACTTTCATTTGATGCTTTGTCAAGAAACTTGGGGAGTTTCTAGGCCTATTTGTCATTAATAACATAAAATAGGCTCATTTTCAGAATCCGGTAACCCAAGTTTCAGTGTATGAGTGAGCTAGTATAGGAGCCTACTACTACTAGTCTAGGTAGGGCTTCAACAATTATGCTAGGTCTACAACGTCAAGTTATAAGAAGGCCTCAATAATTAATAACTGGCTTTAGTAGGAGTAATTACACTTAAGTTAAAATAAAATATATAAATAGGGCTGAGTAAATGATGACAGTGTCAGGGTCAGTAGGGAGAATGGCACGGTTTTTAAGGAAAACATGTTAATGTGAGAATAAGTTTGGTCCAGTCAAAACTGTCACTCGGATGAGACCGGAAGACATGAGTACTATTGAGTTGAAAGGCTGATGAAGGTTCTGTCTCCGGGGAGGACCTACACTGGAAATAGTCATCTCAAGTGCCTTGTCCCAAAAATCATCCTTAAACTGGCAAAGTTGACAAAGGCGCAGTAGTTGAGAAAAGGGAATGCGGTCCTTACAGGATTTAGGGTGGGAAGAAGAATAGCTGTCAGTAAGTTTTAAGTAGGCGGAGGTGAGTAGGCTGTCTTTGGTAAGGGTGACCATAATATCACAATTGTTAACTGAGATTTCAGAGACAATGATATTTAATGTAGGGGTGAAAAGAGCCTAAAAAGTTGATGAATAGACCCCAATACCATCATCAATGTACCGTTTGTAAAATTCAGGGAGGCCTCCAGTGTAGTTTCTCTTCACCATGTATTCATAATGTCCCATGAACAATTATGCGTATGCTGGGTCCCATTGTAGTCCCCATACCAACACCACTAATTTGATTGAAGAATTGGACTCAAATGAACTGAAGGTAAGAATAAGCTCAGCTAATCGGAGGAAGGTATTAGTAGGTATAGAGTTAGGGAGGTGTTAACAGGTATAGATTGATGGGTTTACTCAAAAGAAATAGTTATGAAGATTAAAGACCGCCTGTTTGAGGGATCGAATTATATAGAGAACATACATCAAGCAGACATAGATGAAATTTCTTTTAGGAGGGATGATGATGGATTCAAAAGTTTTTAAATCTTTGTTGGTACCTTTGATATACGAGGGCAGTGATGATATGATTAGTTAAAAAACTCCATCAAGGAATTCCGAGATGTTTAGTGGGGCAAGAGCATAATGAGACAAGTGGTCTTACCTTCTCTTAATCAAATTACACTAATTTAAAATGTAACTTTAATAACTATTTAACAACATAGGAATATCATAGAAAAGTACACACTGAGCATATGCTGAAAATTTTAGGGCTTAAAAAAATAGAGAAAATTATGACAGCTTTAGTCCAGATGTTGACGGTTTTCGATTACAGATTTTAAGATGAATATTTATAAGGAAAAACTCTGAAACTAAATAAAAATGCAATAACTTGTCCCCTTAACATTAAGATAAATTTACACAACCCACGCCACTTTTTACCCATCGCCACCATCTTGGTCGCCCCAACCAATATGGCGGTCGTGTAAAAATAAGTTTTGCTAAAATGGGAAGGGGAAAGAGACAATGTGCTTATTAGCTATTTATCGAGAGAAACGAAAATAGGAACAAAACTTTAAAATTTAATGGCGTAATTTTGTTGTGAACGTAGCAACTTTATTGTCAATATGGCTAATATGCGTCAATGACCTGTAGTTGCAAGTTTCCTGGAGTAACTTCTGGAAAGTTAACTCTAGTAACAATTCAAAATAATCAAAAGGGAGAGAATCCTACACAAAAACTCAGTGAGGTTGATTTTGGGTTAGTGGTAAGGCTGGCAATGTGTTCTAAGTCCAAGGTCCCTTTTGTTCCCCAGGTTTATCATACTCAAAACTGGTACTTTGATTTTTAACTAATCAAAAGACAGCTCTTTTAGCTCGGGTTAAGTAAAGTACTTACTGAAAAATAAGTAAGTATCGGTCTATCACTAATTTGATATTAATTCATTATAATAAAAATTAAGACATTATCATTACTAATTCATTATCAACAATTCACTCATGAGACTCATCCTCATGATTTTTCCAGTTGCCAGTTGGTTAAAAAAATAAAAGAAATTAGCTACGCGGCTTACTGTAGAGGTTTATATATAATGTTCCGAATTGCCTTATTTATTTTTAAGTTCTTAAAGTAAAAGAACCTCCTGGAGACAGATTTATTAAATTAGTTAATGTTTGAAAAGTATGTATCTGTCATAAACGAGTCCATTTTGTTGTTGTTCCTACGTTGACCTTAACTTGGCAGATTTCTTTTTACCAACCTTAAATAGTTAAAAAGCGGCTAGCAAAATTAGCAATTAAAATAGCGAAATGTTAAATTAAATGCGTATATATAAAAGGCATATATATTTAAATATTTTACTTTATCTTTCAAAGTGAATAGATCCATTATTCTCACAAAGTTTCCACTTTGTTAAATATAAAAATTGTTTCTTTTATTTAAAACCAAACTGGTCATTTCAAAATGTGAACATTTCTCTTAGAATAGCATTTTATTTGAAACGCTATTTGCACATACTTTGTATTGATAATGATACTCTAGCTACACCGTCTGCTATTTAAAAAGGAAAACTTGTTTACATAATTATTTGTCTCTTTCTTCCCTAATCCAACACCAAAATTATAGCTAAAGTTTGTACCGTTTGTTTCTCTAAAACAAGATAAAGCTATATAAATTGAAATTACTATGAATTGGGTTGGTGGAGCAAGAACAAGAGTTCGTGGTCCTCAAAAAAGTGACAACAAAATTCAAAAGGTGACAGTGACTGAATTTCCTGAAATGATTGATAAAGACAATTGATCACGACCACACCACAGTGACAGTTGTCAGTTGTAACACACTCGATGTGAATAACGAAATCTGAATCACATTCACAATAAGCCCAATAAACAATGATTGATCAATACATTAGGGCTGACCTCGAAATGACGAGTATTAACACCCCCCTCCCCCCACTTGCGATATACCCGGACCCTGTAAAAAAACGGGTCCGGTGATAAAAAAATTATCTTCTCACTTTCTGTATACTGTATTGTCATGTGTTCCACCCAATGGGGAGAAACATAGAACCAGTACATCTTTAAAAAAAAATAAAAAATTTTTGTACATATTACTTGAATTAAATAAATAATTGGTTCTCAACCTGTAGATCACCTGACAAAATAGCAGGGTGAGGGGTTGTTTCATTTTTAGCGGAGAATGGAGAGGGTTGTGTGTAAAATATGCATTTTAGTTATTTTCTTTTTAAAATTTAAATATAATTTACAGTGATCGACCTAGTTTCTTATTGTTACTATATCCTGACTACACTACAGCTATATTACATAATAAAAAAACAACTTTGATTCATTCAGTAGATGTCAGCAGCTAATGTAAAATAAACATTTTACAATTGAGTCCTTTATCAATACACACATGAATGGGAATGAACCATAAAAATAATTGAAACCATTAATTTGAAATTCATTTGACAATATCAATAATATCATTCATTGATTCATACATTAACATGTCAATTTCATAAGTATAACTATGAGCCCACTCAGCTGCCTGTTCAATGCTAGTTAATTATTTAAAAGTGTAAAATAGTAATAGGCTTACATGTATTTCGGGGTCATCCAAAAGCTATGTCTGGGGGTTTGGTGTGGTGGGGGGGGGGAAGCCATGAATGTGTGATTAATGCCTGATAAAGTGTCTAATTTGAGTTACACATTTTTGACAATTTGTTTGTGTCTGTGTGTGTGTGTGGGGGGGGGGGTAGTATAAAAAAATCAGCCAAAATAGCATGACGTTATTTATAGATGGCCCCTTAATTTTAGTTAATTAATTTTCTTATTACATTGTAATATTCATTACATTGGTATGTAACTTACTTTTGCTATGTAACTTACATTTATATAGTATAACAGTGCTACCACTGCATCACTGGACATTACATCATCTGACCAGTTTACATGTTATTACTTAAGGGGCCATCCATATAGTATATAATACTATAAAAAAGGCCCCCTGTTGAACCCATTAATTTTTTGGAACCCCCCTCCATGCAAACATACACATTATAATCTACTTCCCCCACACACTTTTTTTTCAACCACCTGTATATATCTATTTATGGACAATTATGACACACAGAGGTATTTAAAGAAAGTCAGCATAAACTTTAAGAATTAATGTTTTCACCCCTGTCTGTTTGGTATAACCCAGTGTTTACCAAACTGTGCCCTGTGGCGCCCAGAGGTAAATATATATATATATATATATATATTTATATACAGTTTATTAATTACATATTGTATACAAGAATTTACCTCATAAGGTTGACTGATATATATTTAGAAAACAAATTATTAGTATCTTAACTTACTCAAACATTACATCTTTGAAAAATTATGCAGTAATACAAGATGCCATATCTGACTTTCAGGAATACTTTGAGCGAAAGCGTCTTCGCCACTTATACCATTCAGAAGTTAAGAGAAATGATGGTGAGAGAGAGACTTCAAGCAAACACAAGCCAGTCAAAGTGAGCCAAGATGTTCTAGCATTTCAAATGCAAAGAAAATTGAACAGTCAAAAAGGTAACTCTTGTATATTCTGAAAATCTGCACATTATTTCATATATTAATATTAATAAAATAAAAAAAAAATTAACTTTTCAGCTTTGCAACTACTTATGTTAAAAAAAATGATGCAAAGCATTTTTATTTATTTTTTAATGCAGTGCTTTAAATAGATGTTTGCACCCTATGAAATATTTAAGGACTGCAATAGTGGCAGAATCATATTATTATTAGAAATAAAGAACCACATAAGCAATGCTTTGGATCTAAACTTTGGCATAACCTTGAAACGCATTAATATAGTCTTTAGTAAACTTTACTGAATAATTCATCCAAAAGACATTTTGTGCATTTCTAATTATGGAATTCTTGTTAAAATTTCACCATTACAATTTTTAGGAGTAGAAAAGCAAACAGAGAGTTAAAATGTCAAGAAACACAAAGCGAATTATAGTCTTTAATCACTTAATAAGTTTTAATTCCCATGAAATAAAAAAGAACACATTAAAACATTAATTAGAAAAAGGCTTGAGATAAAATGAAGTATAAAAAAAATTGTTTTATTTAGTTGGTCTAATATATATAGTTGCTTCAGTTCCTGGGACACTGATACTTTGTTTATTTCAGAGCCATTAAACAGTAACAACGATCATCTGGTTAAAGTGGTTAATCTTGATGGCAAGACAAAGATTCCAAGAGGTAAACTCTTTTTTGTTTTTTGTTTTTTTTTATTAAGAGCTCCACATTTAGTTTTATTAGGTTTGTTTGATGCCTGTCTATTGGCTTCAAATCTTGTATCAATTTTTTACCCACATTTATTCAGAAAACATTTTCTTGAAAGTTTTCACAAGTGTATTCTTCAAATAAACCTTATTTTTTGACTTCAGTATTACAGTACATACATCATTGAAGCTTGTCTACATATTATATGGCTGTTACACACTCTAGCTCATTCTCCCTTTTAATTCAGATAGCTTACAACCATACTATAGAGGTGAGACTTAACATGTGTGCATCAAAGCTTAACCTGGGATGTTATTTTCTTATGCTACAAAAAACAACATAATTTTTCTTGACTAATAAACAAAACAGTATTACTGAAACATGATCAGAACATCAAGATTCTATATAAAAAATTGTTTTAGAGATCACAGTAGACTATAAAGTATAAAATATTACATTAATTTTTAAATTACATTGGTTTATTAATATCAAAATTTTAAAAAATTTTAATAATTTAAAATACAATATAAATAAGTACTCTAGTTTGTGCTTGCTATCCAGAAATTTGTTTGAAAGAAATTTTTTTGAATGCAAGTTTGCTCACAATAAAAATTTTAAAAAGACATTTATTTATTTATATATTTATTATTTTAAGGGAAGGTGTGAGTGAGAAATGTTTAAAATTTTAACTTTTTTCTGAAATTAATTATTGTGATTTCCCATTATTTTATTTTTGAATAAACTTGAGTTCCAACTAATTTCTTTCCTACAAATTTGTGGTCACAATTTGCTTGTAGTTGTTGCTCAAGAATTGAGTCGTTTCCCAAAATAGAATTTTCAGCTATAGGTGTTTGTGTCTTTGACTCTGGTTGCATGTATGTCATTTATGGCATCAAAGTATTAAATTTTACACAGTGCTAATTTACAAGGCCATAATACTGTTTGTATTCGAGGTCAGTTGTTGTGACAAACCAAAAATATATTAGTGTCTTTTATATAATATGAGGTGCCTTGTTATATCAGAAAATATATTAACTTTTATTTTCAATTATCACACAACTGTTCTTCATAAAAATATGTAAATTCAACTAAAAATATTAATCAGTTTAAAATTAGATTACTCCAACTAATCATTAGTTGGCAAAAATTAAATTAAACTTCTCTAATTTCAATAAAACCTTACAACTTAAATGGTTTTAAAAATTAATTATTGTTTTGTTTTCTAGAGTAGAGATGTATAGGCCTACAATATAACAGTAACAGCATTTACACTCAATATTAAAATTAGAATAAAGTGTCTCCTGTCTTTCAAGAACACAATTTAAATATTTATAAAGGGATCATATCAGAGTCTGCATTATAATTAATAAATGAAACTGGAATTCATATTCATGACAATGGTGGTTGTAAGTTGATCATGTTATCTTGTCTATTATTTCAAATATAATCATCTTCCATTTAAATATTCTTGATCATCTGCAACAACGTGCCCATTACAAGTGGTTCAATATGAGTGACCACAATTAATTAAAAAATATACAATTTCTAACGCCAAAATATTTTGGCATGCTGATATATTTTTAAAAGAAATTAAATAATAATAATATTATCATAATGCATAGAGAAATTCTTAGCTTTTATTACCTGAACTGACACTGATTAATATGGAGAAATATTTCCATATATTGCACCCCCTTGAATGAGAAAGGCTCATAAAACAAAACAAAATGAATTAATGTCTAATTACTTGTCTCTGATGTTATATTTAATGTGTCATTACTAATTACATGTTAATTGTTTTCCTAACAAAAAGGTGTTAATATGTTTGGCCGGGTCAATGTCGTTGAGCTGCCAGTGTCCCCAATAGAGAGACATTCAGTTCTGTCTTTGTCGTACACCCCCCCATCACTAGGGTAAGATAACCCACATTGACTAGATTGTAGCACTCTAGATCATGACAAAATAGAACTTTCATTTTTTATTATAATAACTTTATGAAAATAAATTAAAATAAATATTCATTTTAAAATGATTTAAAATAGAATTTTTTTTAAAATCCAGATAAAGTAAAAAAAAAATTGTTTTTCAAAATTAAATTTTGGCTATTTCTTATTAAATTTTTAAGTGTGCAAGCTTATAGACTTATTTTCTACATAAAAGAAGCATTGGCATTAAATAATTTGTAACCTATAACTGCTACTAATATTCATTATTTGAATGATTTTTTATCAGAAAATTTTACTTTAAGTTAGGTTAATAAAATAGGCCTCTCATACTCTTTGAGCACAAACTTTGATGAAATTAAGTTTGATAAAAATGATGTTAAATATTTATTATTTTGCAAAAAATAACCAACAACTTTTCAGTTATTAATATTTTATAATCTGGCAACATCACTCCTTTCCCTTTCACAGTTGAAATGCACTTACAGCATTGTTTAATTCCTCTAAGTTTTGTAAATGCGCTATTCTAAACCATCAATATTGTTTGAGTTAAGGTTGTCTTGGTTCTAACACTATTTCACCGTCTTCTAATCTATTCAACAGTAGTTTATATTAAATAAATGAGAGAGTGATGATGGGCAGCAAAATTTACAAAGAGCTTGTGATATAAATAAATGATACAGTAGAATGTTATTAATTTTTTAACTATAAATGATCTAAACAGCAGAAAGCATTGCAAAAGAGTGGCACCCATCTCTAGAATGGAAGTCTCTCAAAGTGTAGATCTGTTCTCAATAGACCAAATTCAATCAGGCCAAAATGGATGTATTGATTTGTTTGGAAAGACTATTAAAAAACCTGTCTCTAACAAGAGGCCCCCATCTACACAGACTAGACAACCCTATAAGATTGACTCAGCACCAGCTACAAGAGAGGTTGTACCTTTTTATTTTTATTTAGATAATTTTTAAAAAGTTTAGCGGATTTCAAATGGCTAGTTTTAATTTCATATCAAGTTTATTTAGCCCATCTTGTTCCTTTTTATACATTTAAAATTAAGCCCAAGTCATAGATTTGCTATTTAAACATATATGTCATGTATTTTAATTTGTTTGGGGGATTTTTATATTACATTTTGTCTGAATATTTTTTTTCCAAAAAAATCAAGTGATAGGAGAATTTCTTTGTGTAAAAACAATTTTCTTCAGACACTTGAATGTAATGTTGATTGTCATTTTGTTCCAGTCTTATCCTATGGCAACAACTAATGATGCTGTTGACTTGAACAACTTCCCGTCCAATGTTTATTCAGCCCATTATAATTGTCCGATGAAACCAGAAGATAGCATATCTGAATTTTCCATAGCAGCGGGTACCACTGAGCCAGTTTCTTCTTTATACTTGCATCAGTTTAGAGATCAGTCAGCTGATGGATTTGAAATGTCTAACCCTTTGGCTTCTGTATCAGAATGTGATATTTACCCTGGTCATCATTCTCAATACCACATGATGAATATAGAAAGTTTTTCCTCTTCACAACATTGCCTTGACCCGGTGTTTACTACAGGCAAGGACACAGACACTTTTGAAGTCAGCGTTATTGATTCTCCTGAATCTAAAAGAAGTCATTCCACCTTATCAAAAGATAGCTTAAACAGTTATTTGAATGAACCAATTGTAGATGACTCAACATATGCGCAGTCTCCGAAAATTCCAATTAGTGGATTGACACAGTTTCTACAGACCAATACTTCTCATCTCAATAATACAAGAAGCAGTGGAATGTACAATAAAGTTAGAGACAATAAAAAACTACAAAACCATGAAAAAGAATGTACGAACAGCTCAAGATCCAATTGGAGTCCATGTTCTGTGGACAATATGAAAAAATCCAAAATGGCTAGTGGGTCATTTTTTACATGGCCTCCTCGATCTTTTGATAGTATGTTGTACAAGGATGAAAGAATTTCAAGAAATGATTTTGAGAACCAAAGATATATGTTTCCTCAAAAAGTAGCTAGTGATTCCACTAGCTATAATAGTAATGGCCCAACTAAATCTAGTGTCGGTATTCCAGCTTCTTCTCAAATTAGCTTTTTAGTTTCAACTGGACTGGACTACTCCCAACAGTACCTGATAGAAGATGATTCACTTCAAATGGTGTCACCAGATTCCTTGAGTTCAAATGGTCGTGGAGTACATGTCTCATTGGGTCAAACTGGCTCACAATTACTATTGCAAAGAAAAAGTCAACCTCTGCTGAATAGCAATATATATAAGCAGCCAAGTTTTTATACCCAAAAGGAAAGAAGCTTGTCAAACACACATAGGTGAGTACCTTAAAATGCTTCAGACCAGATGTATGAACATTGCTCTAATATCGGAGTTTCAGATTCCTAATTAAATGCCACAATGAATAAATTATATTGAATCAAAATGACATAGCTTCAGTGCCTTTGAGAAATCCATTTCGTGATTTAGACTCTAAATTTTATTAATGCAATAACCCTTAAACCTGAAATATGATCAATGGAAATAATATTTATTACATATTTAAAAGAAATTATTTGCTATAGCCATTGGACGTTCCCTTCTGTTGACACAGTACACTTCCAGAGCGACTAAAACTGTGTTAATAGGTGCCATCTTATTAAATTTCTCTTTCTCTGCCTAAATTTATTCTAAATAGTCCCCCTTTACAAACCTTTACATATGAGAGAACATAATACTCAACTGTGAATAATTTTTGCTGTGTGCAAAAAAAAAAACAAATTCAAGGATTGCACTATAAAAAAAAAAATAGCTTTCCTCAAAACTTTGTTTCTCTATATTCTCTCATTTTATTCAGGTTTTTTTTTAATAAATGAATGAGGATGGGAGTTCTCTGCTGGATCCTTTACAATATTAATAATTATATCAATTATAAAAAAGAGCAACCAAAAAAATTACCAATTACATTATCACATATTAAAAATGTTTATTTAACAAAGGTGTATTTTAATCCTACAAACACATTTTGTATGAGAATAGTTGGATTTCTCTAAAAACCTAATTTAGGCTAATTTAAACACTTGGAGCAATAATCAATCTTGATTTTGAAATTTTGTGATTTCTATATCCATTTGCCCAAATATAAAGTTTCTATTTAAAGTATTATAGTCTATTGTTGTGCTAATTTTGTTTTACTTTTATTTTTTTATATAATTTATCATCTAGAGATTAATATGTGACATAGCTTTTTCTGTATCTATAAGATATTCACCGTTTGTGGCAGATGTATATCCAGAACCAAGCAATGAATTAAAACAATCAGCAATGCCCATCAAAGAATGGCAACATTCAAGAGAGCATAACAACAGAATTAAAGGGAAACAAGTCACACTTGGCTCAGGTTTATCTCTCTTGGCATTAATTTAGCTGCTCTTTTAACATGGGTAAAATCATTGCTAATTTATTGATGGCAGTCTTAGAAACAAGGCCACTAATTAATTAACACATTTAATAAAAATTTATTTCATAAAAGCTGTTAAACACATTATGGTACATGTTAGTATAGATAGATGTATGAAAATCATAAGTTGTACTGGAAGTAAAGAAAAAACAAATTGAGATTAACATGTTGGTGTAAACCACATAACCTTTGCTCTGAGTGAGATTATATTGACATGCATGTTAATCAAACATTTTAAAAATGTACATCCTCTAAGGAAACAACAACCATCCTTTACATTTAGAGTATATGTGCTATTTTGATATCATTTTATTACACCTAGCAAGGCTTATATTTCAATATTTCTCTATTTAGAATATAAACCACTGAAGTTTATTGTATGATTACAATGAGGATTTAAAATTATATTAAATCTTAATAATATGCACAAGTTCTGTAATTTGTCAAACTGGATTAAAAAGAAAAATATTGAACTATAGAAAAACATATTATACACAATCACTATTTTAGAGAAAAAAAATTCTTTAAATTTATATATAATGTGTAGTTAAATAAGAATCATTTTATATCCTTGAAGATTTTTCCAAGAGATACAATACCAAAAGTGACAGCAGTCCGACAGCTGGATGCCCAGAATTGTTAGATCATCCAATCAAGTCAGTTCATTTAATTTATTTACACAGATTTGATATTATTTCTTTTCATTTGTTCTTATTTGATCATTAATTAAAACTTTGTCTTTAGTACAGATCTGTTGATTAAAGCTGAGTTTTTGCTGAGGTCAAATTCATAAGAATCATAATATAACTGAAGTATTTTTAAAATGTCATATAAACATTATTTCAACCTCATACTGATTTCCGTGTTCCTTTTTATATCAGTGAGTGTCAAACACATGTTTTTTAAATTTTATTTTTGCTCAGGAGCTCATAATTGTAACATTGAATACTTGCTCAGTAACTATAGAAATATTTATTGATGTAATATTGGAACAACATAAGATGGTTATATGGATACTTAATTTTATTATTTCAGAAGGAAGCAGACAAACACTGAAGAAGTCCTCAAGGAAGTAAGTTATGTAACATGTATATCAAAATGTGCAGTTTTTAAAAATTTAGTTGAGTGTGAACATTCCTAATGTAAATTGGGCTTCATTATGAGATTTTTTAACAGCATCAATGAAATGGATCTCAGATTATAATTTGTATTTTGATTTAGCTTATTAATCAATGGGCTTAAATCTGTTTTGGGTAGCAGTTTCAAATTCCATCTGGGATCATTCCCGATTTTGAACAAGTAGTTGGGCATAATGGATTTGACAGTTTAGAAAGACAGCTATTCTTGAGTGAAATGTGAACCTTGAATAAAAACCTGAAGCACAGAATTCAGAAGACGGCAGCTGTTAAGTAAGCAACCACAAAAAAACACAACCATTTTAAAAAAATGCAACAATGTTTGTTTTTCAACCAAATAATACAGAGCTTCAAAAATAGTAATGCACTTTATTTGTTATATGAGATACAGATAGAAGATATTAGGAATAGACTTCGAGATATTATTTAGAAAATATTTTTCCTTTTCAAAAAGGGGAAAATTCAATAATTTATTTTTAAAAATTACATATTGGTACTTTCAGTTAAGATAAATAAATGTGTGTTAAGATGCACGATTGTTTGTAATAGATGAATTTGTTGGAACAGTCCTCCATGGGTGCTTGCCACCTGGTCACAGATGAAGATAAACATCATACTAATAGTAATATGGGTTTAAGATATGAAACAAAATCAGGATCAGCTGGTGCACATCAGGTATTTTTGTGTTTTTCATTTACTTACATCAACCTTTTTAATAATTTCCAGTTAACTGCCCTTTGCCTTCAACTTAATCCTTATGTTTTCTAAGCTTGAGCGGTTATATTGTTGAGAAATGTTTATGCTCCTTAGCAACAGCTCTAATGTTTGACAAAAAGCTAGTTAAATTTAGTCTTTTCACAACCATATGTCAAATAATTAGTGGATAGTTATCCAAAGTATTTTTGTATTGATTCATAACTATTTACAAAACTAGTAGGTCTGTGTTTGTTTTTTCAACAGCAGTCTTATTCACTGTATAGAAACCAAAGTTGTCAAAGTTCAGTTCAGTCAGTTAATGAGCCCAGTAGCAGTAAATACAATGTACAAGTACCTTTGGCTTTAAAAGATCAAAGCAATGAAGACACATTCAGGGCCACATCAAAAACAGAATCCACTTTGAAGAATCCACTTTCTGAGATATGCTCTACAGAGAATAAGTCAGAATTCACAACACCAAAAACGTTTAAATGCCAAAAGAGTCCCCCAACAACAGCTGATGTAGAAGTAGAGAAACTAAGTTCAGGACAAGTTACACATAAGATAAAAGCTATTGAAAGCTCTCCAGTTGTGATTGGTAATACCAGTCCAGTCAATGCAAATAATGGGACTAAGGTACTCGCTGACACACGCTGGCAACAAACTGTGTCATCAAATCTATCTGGTTTAAGCTCAATCAATGATAACCTAAAATCTAGTGTTCAAGATTTAAAACCAAAGTCAGACACCGCAACTGCATCTGACGACTTGCAAAGAGGACATGAGTGGAGATTTGTGGACACCACATTGCAGAAAACACCTAAAATAATGAAAGACTCTTGCTGTAGTCCAATAGTAGAATTGACCTCTCACTGGAGTGGACAGGACTGTAAGAATTTGAGCACAACTCAAAGTCGTGGTAGAAGCTTAAATGAGCGATATTGTCTCAGATCAAGAACCAGAACAGACTGACTGTGTTCATTTTCTTTAGCTAAGTTTTTTTACTTGTTTGTTTTAAAACAAATTATTTAAGTTTACTAGTTACTTTTGAAATACTTTATTAACAAAATATTGTTTGACAGTATTATTTGAAGTTTCTTGAATAATGTGACTTTTTTTTAAAGTAATGAGGATAAAGGTTACAATGAAACACATGTACATTAAAACCATGTGGCCCCATTAATTCCAAAACTCTTCTTAGTGAAATGGAAAGATTTCCATTTTGTGAAATTTTTAAATTTCCTCCTTGAGAAATACTTTTAAGCCACTCTGCAAAATATGTTTGTAAATATAATATTATATGCCAAATATTTCTATTTATGTTAAATCCCCTTTAATGCAGAATGGTCCATTGACAGATAAGCAGTTATGATTATCTTATTATTTATTTTGTGAAACTAAAGTAGGCCTACACATAGGCCTTCAACATTGCACACAAAATAATGAATACAATTGACTCCATTATTGTAATATAATTTAAACTAATGTTTCCCAGAGATGTGTGTTTCATATATGTTTAATATTTTGCATCTTTTTGTAAAATTCAAATTTCAGTGTTAAGATTAATTTGTCTCCATCTATGATATAGGCAGTAACCATAAGCAAGAAATTGATCCTTAGAAATGCTATTTGAAATTACTTTGGTATTTTTTCGTGTTACTATTTTCATGCTTATGCATTCATGACCATTTGTATTTATTTTAGATGTCAGTTTGTGCATTTTATTTGTTAAAATATATTTATTATTGAAGTAATAAAGTAAATAATAATTTTTTTTTTGGCATTAGCCTCGATGTATGCCTTGCTTCATTTGCCCCCTCGTCACATTCCCCTTTAGATGGAAAAGATTTACTTACTAAATTCAACTTAAAGAAATTTAAAAAAAAACAGTTTCCCTTTGCTTCCAACAATATTTTATTTCAGTACTGCTCTAAGAACATTTCTATAATTGTTTTGATACACAAACCATAACATTTCATTGCAAATCTAATAATGACAGAGTTGAGTACACGGTTATAATATTGACAACATCAACAACAAGCATGAGGTCAATGCTTTAGTCTTGGATTATGGCAACTACAAATCCTCTACTTTAACAACAGTATTTTGCCTACACCAATACAGGTAACAATTCAGTGGTAACATGTTGATGATGATGAGATTAGCAACACATCAAATTAATTGGAATGGAATTTTTTTGTTTAATTTCTGAATGTCAATTAAAGTTATATGGACAACATTTAGGAGAATTAAATTCTTGTTACAGTGTCTACGTTGTACAAAAATTGAGAACATACAATGTTATAGTAACTTTAAAGAGGGATGTTTGAGTTTCTTAACCTCTCCTTTCCTAAGAACTATCAAACAAAGCAAACTATCCTTGCAAAGCACTGTCCTTCTTCTCATTCTGGGATAAATGGGAATTAACCAAAACATTACAGGAAGATATATATATATATATATATATATCAGGATAATGTGGTTACAAGGATGAAATGTAACTGAACTAAATGATTCACAGTTGCACAGAGAGAAATCTGTCATGATTGTTCGACATACATGTGACAAGGTTTTAATGACCACCATAAGACATCATCTAATCCTCAGTGAAATAGCATTGCAGGATTTTATTGATGTTTTATCTACCAATATCCTGAGGTGTGTAGACAAACAATGCAGACAACTAGCTTGTGAATTATTTCTTAAATGATATTTATCTACATACAGGACTAGACATTAACACAGACAAGACAGACTTAGCTGGTGGCTTTTATTTCCTACTGGCCAACATTAAGCACACTGGACAATTCTAGGCTAGCTAGATACACTCTCTACTACATGAAGTACCATAATGCAAACTTCTTTATACAGAAAAATCCTTGCATCAGCAAATGCTTTTTTTAAAAATTTTCATAACTGTTAATCTACGTATGCTAACAGTCTAACAGGCAGTGAACTTTTATTCACAGCCCTGCCATTTATGTATAGTTAAGTATGTTCATCATGTTTTTTTCAAGCTATAATCTCAACACTTATTTAAGCCACACTCTTCCACATCTTTAACATTCATGGTTTATGTGAAGACAGAGAAACTTGGCCCATCCATATTTGCATATGATTCTTTTCCTTACTTACAAAGTTATTTCAGAGTAACTTGGCACCTTCACATTTGCATATGTTTCTTGTCCTTACACATTTATTTCAGAGTACCTTGGCACCGTCACATTTGCGTATGCTTTTTGTCCTCACTCACCCAGTCATTTCAGAATAACAGCACAGAAATAGAAAATTTCAGTCTGGCCAAGCAGTATCGATTGATTAACCAGCAAACAGTTTAAAAACAAAATCTTTACTTATTAGTAATTAAGTACAGTGAAACCAACAGCTAAAATACCTTTCCAGTTTGTTGTTTCTCATACTTTAAAATGAAATACAACATTTATTTGCATATGATCTTGGCAGAGTGAAACACACCTGAATCTTGCAGAAATTATGCAACTATTAACTTTATCTCAACATAATACATTTCCATGTGTAAATAAATACTTCTATTTGATAGGACGTGTTGACACCCCACCCAAGCATTCTCCACACACATTTGTATTTTTTCAATGGATGACACAGATATAGCAGGGTAATGAAAAGATAACTTTAACACTCAGATGTCGGGCTTGCTTTTCATGGGTAGTTTCCCTTGATATACCTCGCTCTCAGTTAATGTCGACTTTGAGTGAAGTATGGTATCACGGCTAAGCACCATTCATGCAATTTTATAGACATTTCTGCCTTCAGTCAGGGGAACCCTGGTGGCCACCTTGTTTCGAAAGCCTGTGGTAACATGAGGCCTGGACCCATGATGACGGGGAAGTTAGTAAAATAAAAACCTATTTGGTCTCTATTCGGGTGAATCTAACTCTGATTCACGTCCATCCCTGTTGAGCCCACGTATGTGCACATACTGGATAGTTTGTGGGTTGAGAGCTTGAATAGGGTCTGCAGAACTAGCGAACCATGAGCGAGTAAACCAAGACCTGTTGATACGGAGTAAAGATGACTTTGTTGTAAAAAAATTGATAAAATATGTGATTGCCTTTGTTGAGGGAGCCTGTTACTATTAGCGGGAGACTGTAGTTAGTAGGACACTGTAGCTTTTTTGGAGACTAGTTAGTGGGACGCTGTTGATGTGAAGTAAGGTGGAATGCGATATCTATACGTTTAAAAGTATCCCTTTGATTTGGATCACTAGGTCAGATAATAATAAACTAGACCTACATCTACAGAAACCTTCGTTGACCTATTTTACTATTTTATCGACTCGGAGTACTAGATACATTTATTAGTACTTTGTCATGGTCAGTACTCTGTTCAGTCAGGACTTGGTGTATAACTGGTATGTAAACACTTGTTTTGTTAAAAACGAATATAAACATATCCATGAACCTGTTATAGCTTCTACGTATTTTACCTGGCAAACAATCCCTCCACCTCTTCTAACGTCCGACCTTTGGTCTCAGGAAGAATAAGAGCCAGGAGTATTGCTCCAGCAAAAGCTAAACATGCATATAACCAGAAAGTACCTGTGGACAGAGAAGACGATGTATTTGGTGGGCATGTGGACAGAGAAGACGATGTATTTGGTGGGCATGTGGACAGAGAAGACGATGTATTTGGTGGGCATGTGGACAGAGAAGACGATGTATTTGGTGGGCATGCGGACAGAGAACAAAATGTACTTGTTAGGCGTGTTGACAAAGGAGACGATGTATTTGACGGACTTGTAATAACACCTTTACTCTCATAAGTATAGGAAGATAAAGATGAGACTTGTTGGGTCTCAGTGAAGCAAATATTTACAGTGATGAACGATATTCTTTCAAAAACTATTCAATATCTTGTATATCTTCACGATTTTCGAATGGCTAATCAAGCATGAGGGTTTACCAGGCATGTGAAGTCTTTCCATACACAAACAGAAACTGACAAGCCACCTGCACACTCGTCATCGGGGTATAGCACTTTGTAATCTTCGCATGGGAGCACAACAAAAATTACGATTACCGGCAGATTTTAGCTACACTTTAACTCTGCAGTTTTGCCCCTCCCACTTCCAACACTCACAGACACACTCACGAGCACACTATGACGTTGGACTAACCATAACGCGTCAGTGTCTCCGTAAGTGTGATGAAGGACATGGACACCGCCAAATTGAAAGCCCAGTTCATGAAAGTAGAGACAGAGTTGCCCGTACTGCGTGCCCACAGTGGGTAGATTTCAGAATTGATGGTCCAAGGCATAGGGCCCATACCTGATGAAATAAATACAAGAAAGAAAAAAAAACAGTTGGGTACTGTGGCAAATAGCAAAGGGGAAAAAACTTGAATAATGTTGATTACCAACGAGCAATCTCTAATACGTCTCTCCATCCACCCCCCCCCCCCCCCCCCCCCCCCCACCCAACAAAACGGCGCAAGCACAACAAAAAAAAAAACAAAAAAAAAAAAAAATAAAAACGTATAAAACAAATGATGATAGAGGATCT